AAAAAGAGGAAAACAGTTAACCCCCTAAGGAAGTGGGCAAAAGAACTGAAAAGAGCCTTCACTAGGGAGGAGACTCATATGGCTAATAAGCATATGAGAACGTGTTCCCGGTCATTAGCCTTAAGAGAAATGCAAATTAAAACAAGAATGAGATACCACCTATCACTCCGGAGGCTAGCCCAAATCAGCAAATAAGAGAGCAAGTGTTGGAGGAGTTGTGGTGAAATAGGAACCCTCCTCCACTGCTGGTGTTGTGTAGATTTGTACAGCCACTGTGGAAAGCAATCTGGAGATACTTAAAGAAAATAGAAATTGATCTACCTTATGACCTAGTCATCCTTCTACTGGGCATATACCAGAGGAGGTAACAAATAAAACACAACCAGTCATCTGCACTCCAATGTTTATTGCAGTGCAATTCACAATCGCAAAGACTTGGAAAAAGCCTAAGTTTCCATCAATAGATGAGTGGATTAGTAAACTCTGGCATACAAACACAATGGAGCACTGAAAAGGTCGGACGATCACTTGAAACACGTCATTTCATAAGAGTTGGAAGGAATCATGTTAAGCGAGGTAAGTCAATCTCAAAAGGACAGGTATAACATGAGTCCCTGGGGGTAAGTACTATCAGCAGGCCAAGAGTAGAAGAAGAGACACTTATCTGAAAATACACAGGTGGAAGCAAAGGTAGTTGAGGGAAGGTCAGACCAAACACAGGGAGGTACATGTGAGTCCAACATAAAGAAGGGGAAAGGGAGGAGGAGGAGGGAGAATGGGGGTGGGGAAAAACTGAGACAATGACATGGGAGGAACAGGGCACTAACCCACCCAATGGGAGAGTATTAGTTGTGTCCCCACAGAATCGGAATGTGTATACAGAATCCACCATGATTCGCCAAACCAAGAGGGCAACGTAACACGTGGAGGAATCCATAAAAAGAATGGACTACAGGGCCGGCCCCACCAGAACCAGCCTGACCCCCACCCTGGAAGGGTGTGCCACAAAGAATGACAATAGACCTTCTGGTGGGGGAAAGGAACTGACCTACCATACCCACATGGAAGCAGAAGCAAATGAAGGGGGAGAAAGGGAATGGAGCACACCCTGGCCCACCAAGCCCTGAGGACAATAGTCCTGCTCAGAGCAGCCAATGCAGAGAGAGGACCTTATGGCCGGCCCCACTACGAGATGTGACATCCCGCACTGACCCATAGCCCTACAGGGGGCAACATTGGAAACACAGTGTGGGATTTGTGCCTGAGCTGACCCCACCACACCGAAGCAAAACACTAAGGGTGTTCTGCTCCCGTAAAGATTCAGAAACCTACACCGGTAGTTATACATTGTCCAACAGAGGGAGTAGGAGTCAAAATTGCCTTGAGGGCAGTGAGTGAGACAGTGAACTGAGAACAAAGAGCAGCGACAGCAGACAACTTGAAGTGAACCACTGCAAGGGACTGCTGATAAATTTAACAAGCAAGTTCTTCATACTCATCAGTGGCAACATTACAGGGAGAAAAGGAAAAGGCAAAAGGGGAGAGAGTAACATCTATTTACTCTATTTACATCTATTACAAAGAATGGGCGCCTAGGCTAGGCAGAGGCTTTTACATTAAGAAAGTTCACTTGCTGCCAAGATACCAGGAGACCTCTAAAAGTTCATGGAAACAATGGTATTACAAAATAATGGAATTTCTTCACAAACTTCTGCGAGCCCCCTTATACAATAGAAAACTTGGATTGTAAGGTATTATACATCAAACTCAAACTCACAGCCATCAAGTCAATTCTGACACATAGCAATCCTATTATTAACATAGAACACACACAGCAAAATTACACACCAAACTAAAGTGAAACAAAACAAAACAGATCAATACCTACTGAAAAGAACAACAGAGACAAAAGGAATAGATAAAAAGTAGTGGAGTAAAAGAGAAAGCAAGCAAGCAAAAAACTCAAAACTCCCAGAAATCTCATAAAACATACAGTAAAAATGCAGACTTAATTATTCTGTCAATACTTACCTTGAACATCAATGGATTAAGTACTCCGGATAATAGGAAGAGGGGCAAATTGGCTTAGAAAACACACGGTCTACAAGAGAAATCCTAGGCCCAAAGAAACAGACAGATTTAAAGTCAGGGGACCACACGGGATGTTTGTTTAAATATTAACCAAAAGAAGACAAAAGTGGCTCAATGATATCAGAAAGATGAGAATGAGGAGGAGGATCTCGAATGTAAAATTGTTATGGGATATTTAAAATCATATAAAGTGGGCATCAAGGTTACATCCTTTCACCATACTTATCCAACCTGTATACTGAGCAAATAAACCAAGAAGCTGGACTATATAAAG